TGGTTTTATCTCTTTAGAGAACCCTGTCTAACACAACCACCTCAACCCTTTCTCTGTTTATCATGATGTGGTCTATTGGTCCACTTCTGAGGATTTTTGCTTTTCTTGACATTGAATTGAAATTCATACTGAAGGCACCCTTTGATTACCATGACTAAATCTTTCCCAATTTCGGCAAGCAAGGTTGTTTCATCTGCTTATCAGATGTTGTTAACAAGTCTTTTTTTGATCCTGAAGCCCCTTTTTCCTTAATATAGTCCAGCTTCTCAGATTACTTGCTCAGTGTACAGATGGAATAAGTATGATAAAGGATGCAACCCTGATGCACACATTTTCTGATTTTTAACTATGCAGGAACCCTTGCTCTCTTTGAAAGACTGTCTCTTGGTTCACATGCTGGTCCCTGAACACAATGAAGTGTTCTAGAATTTCCATTCTTCAGAAAGTTATCCCATAGTTTGTTATGATCCACAGAGTTGAATGTATTTGCACAAAAAAACACCAGGAAAATGTTTCTGGTATTCTCTACTTTTAGCTAAGATTCAATTGACATCATCAATAATATCCCTTCGGCTGCATTCTTTTCTGAATCTTAATTGAATTTCTGGCACCTTGCTGCCAATGTACCGCTGCAATTGTGGAATTTTCTTCTGCAAAAATTTACTTGCATTTGTTATTAATGGTGTTCTTCAAAATTTGTGCATTTTGTTGGGTCACTTTTCTTTGGACTGAGGACAATTAAGGATCTCCCCCAAATGTTTTGGCATAGATGGTAAGTCCTTCTGGTACTTCCTCAGCTTGTGGAAAGGAAATACCATTTCCTTTGGTATTCTGTCAATTCCTGGAGTCTGGTTTTCAGTTGAAGGCAAACCATTTGTGCCACCTAGTGTTCTACAACCTTCAAAAAACTAAAGCTAAAACTCACTGCCATTGAGTCAGTCCCAACTCATGAGGTTACTAGAGGAGAGGGTAGAACTGCCCTTTTGCGATTTTGAGGATGTAAATTTTTATGGGAGCAGAAAGTCTCAGCTTTCTCCCAAATAAACTTCAAAATAAAATTAATTGTTGAGGTACCTGTTTACCTAGAACTTTTACCTCACAGTGTTTTTGTAAGGATAAAATGAAATAAAATGTTGAAAATGCTTTGAAAATTAAGTGGTATACAAATGCAACACCCCCAACACACACACACACACACACACACACACACACACACACACAGCCTTCCATGTGTTCCTGACTGATGAGTGAACTTATAGGCCAGAATATAAAAGCTCTGGATGGTTTCTGAGACTGTAAATAATTCTGGGTGCAGACAGTCTCAATGATCTCCCCTGGAGTGGCTGGTAGGCTTGAACTGCTTAGCTGGCACTTAGCAGTATAATGCATAATCAATCCATTATGCCACCTAGACTCTTTATACAAATGCAAGGTATGAATCTCTGCAACGTGTATGGGAAGAAAAATTTTACATCTGTCTCAAATTGTCTTGTCATGGTGAGGGTGACGTATGACGTGAGGTGTTGTTTTTGCGAAAACCCACATGACCAGTATCACCTGCAAACAACAGTCACGAAGGTCCACTGCACAACTTTCCCGGGGTCTCCTGGTCCTGTGCCCATCCTCCTAACAGAGAACATTGGAACCTGTCTCTGAACCCACAAGTGCTTGTCTCCATCATAACCTGAGCTCAGGCTACTGATCAAAATCTTCAAGGGATTGTGATATAACTTACACATGTATCTTATAGAAACCAAACCAACAATGAACACTGCCATCACAGCAATGTCCACTCATAACACACTATAGTACAGGGTTCAACTGCCCCTATGGGATTCTGAGACAGTAACTCTTTCCAGGAGTAGAAAGCCTCATCTTTCTCCCAGTGAGCAACTGGTGATTTTGAACTACTGACCTCCTGGGTAGCAGCCCAGGCAGTATATAACTCACTGTCCCATCATGAAGATGGCATTCACCATGCTGCCAAAGCAGAGCAGGGCCCCTCCCAGGTAGGCAAGGTAGAGAGGGAGCCTCTCAAGGGTGAAGAGGCCCTTCGTGTTGCACAGGCTGACCCTGAATCTTCAGGGGTAACAGGAGCGTTCTTCCTTGGAAAGGCAAGGTACACATCAAGTGTGCATGTCAAACTGAGGGTGCGTGGTGTGGTAGGAAGTAGAGAGTGTGTAATGCAGAGGAGGTTGTCTCTGAACACAGTGGGAGGTATAGGTGACGCTGGGAGCTCTCACTGAAGAGAAAGAAGTCATCTTTGGGAAGAGGAGCAGTCCAGACTGGGAGTGGGTGGGTATATTGGCTATGTCTATGCATTTCCCTCGGTGAGGAACATGCCCAGCCCAGCCACAGAGAAACATGGACTTCAAGAGGAAGAAGCATCCCTGGAGCATCCTCTGGTGCAGCCCGCTTGCCAGCAGCTCAAAGAAGATATCCTGACACCATTCAAGACAGAGAGAGCTGAAGGCACCCTCTTTGATGAGGTACTTACGGTCTTCTCCAGGGTCTGGAAGATCTCCCTGGCTTCCTCAAAGGAGCACTGTTCCTCATTGCATTCTCTCTCCAGTGACCCTGTCCTGAATTCTTCCCAGAACTCGTTGGCTCGCCTTTGCCTGTGCAGGATGCTGTTGGCCTCCTCCTGCCTTATGAAGACTGAGAAATGGAAAATCCATGAAAGTCACAGCCACTTTCCACGCCAAGATGGCATGGCCACCATTCACACAGAGAGCTTCCTTTTTAGCAATGGGAATCATATCAGAGCATGCCATTTGCAGAAGGCTATGGGTAACAGTGAAAGCTCCAAACCCATTTTCTGACTCCCTACCTGTAATAAGCCTCCATTGAATTCCTTCTGACCATTAATCAGCAGGAGTTCTGGTAGTGAAATGTGTTACATCCTGGGCTTCTTAACTCGAGGTTAACAGTTCAAAACCACAGTCACTGCTGGGGGAAAAGATGAGACTTTCTACTTCTGTAAAGAGTTAGAGTCTTGGAAACCCACAGGGCAAGTTCTAGCCTGTCCTGTAGAGTGACATGAAACAAAATTCAAAACAAAACTCATTGCTGTGAGTTTTGGGTCTTGCTTTGTTGAGTTGGTCGTTTTATTGTCATTCACCAAGTATGTGACAAGTCTTGCCCTCAGGTAGAGTGCATTGGGAAGTGGATTACCTCCACACGCCTAGCCAGCCCAGGGAAGGGCACTCTCCCTTCAGGGCTTGCCTGGCTGTGTCTGTGATGGAGAGTACAGTCCTCAGGTTGCATAGTCCTGAGTCAATCATGTCCTGACTGCCTTCATCGGAGGGCCCTGGACCAATTGGGTAAGCTCCTCTAACATACTGTCCATGTCCCATCCTGTGCCAGCTTTTGTAGCCCCACCTATAACTGGGGATATTCGTCTGCTGCCAGTCATACATGTGTGACCACTTCTTCTGCCCTCCCATGTTCTTTTTTGGTCTCTGAATCTCAGCAAACCCACAGACACCACTGTGGCCTTGTG